TGTAGTGTCCTGCAGCGGCGTGGCCCGCGCCAGGTCGCGCAGCTCTGCCCCCCGGCCCCCAGCGGCGCCCGCCAGCCCTCCCGCAGTGCCCTCGGAGGGCAGCGGTGGGGGTACCACGGGCTGGCGCGCTCGGGAGGAGCAGCCACCGTCCGTGGCCGAGGGCTATGCTTCCCAGGACGTGTTCAGCGCCACTGAGACCAGTCTGTGGTACGACTTCCTGCCCGACCAAGCGGCGGGGCTGTGTGGCAGTGATGGACGGGCACGCAGGGCCACCCAGCGCCTGAGTGTCCTGCTGTGTGCCAACGCCGATGGTAGTGAGAAGCTGCCCCCGCTTGTGGCTGGCAAGTCGGCCAAACCCCGTGCAGGCCAAGCCGGCCTGCCCTGTGACTATACCGCCAACTCTAAGGGTGGTGTTACCACCCAGGCTCTGGCCAAGTACCTGAAGGCCCTGGACACCCGCATGGCTGCAGAATCTCGCCGAGTCCTGCTGCTGGCTGGCCGCCTGGCTGCCCAGTCCCTGGATACCTCGGGCCTGCGGCATGTGCAGCTGGCCTTCTTCCCACCAGGCACGGTGCAGCCGCTGGAGCGTGGCGTGGTCCAACAGGTGAAGGGCCACTACCGCCAGGCCATGCTGCTGAAGGCCATGGCAGCGCTAGAGGGCCAAGATCGCTCAGGCCTGCAGCTAGGCCTCATGGAGGCCCTGCACTTCGTGGCTGCGGCTTGGCAGGCTGTGGAACCTTCCGACATAGCTGCCTGCTTTCGTGAGGCTGGCTTTGGGGGTGGCCCTAATGCTACCATCACTACTGCCCTCAAGAGTGAGGGAGAGGAAGAGGAGGAAGAGGAGGAGGAGGAGGAAGAAGAGGAAGAGGAGGGTGAAGGGGAGGAGGAAGAGGAGGAGGATGGTGAGGAGGAGGAGGAAGGGGGGGAAGGAGAGGAGCTCGGGGAGGAAGAGGAGGTAGAAGAGGAGGGTGATGTTGATGACAGTGATGAAGAGGAAGAGGAGGAGGAGGAAGAGAGCTCCTCTGAGGGCTTGGAGGCTGAGGACTGGGCCCAGGGTGTAGTGGAGGCTGGTGGCAGCTTTGGAGGTTACGGTGCCCAGGAGGAGGCCCAGTGCCCTACCCTCCATTTCCTGGAAGGTGAGGAGGACTCTGAGTCAGACAGTGAGGAAGAAGAGGAAGATGATGATGAGGAGGATGAAGATGATGAAGATGATGAGGAGGATGGTGATGAGGTGCCTGTACCCAGCTTCGGGGAAGCCATGGCTTACTTTGCTATGGTCAAGAGGTACCTCACCTCCTTCCCCATCGATGACCGTGTGCAAAGCCACATCCTCCACTTGGAACATGACCTGGTTCATGTGACCAGAAAGAACCATGCCAGGCAGGCAGGAGTTAGGGGTCTTGGACATCAAAGCTGAGCCGGTGAGCTCAGCCATGCCCCCGACCTGGATGTGGCAGCACCAGGGCAGAGGACTCTCTGGGCGACTGCTGTGGATGGAGGCAGAGTGGGGAATCCCACATCCTTTAGTGATATTCTCCTGGCCCTGTGACAGGCCCAGTCACCTCTCTAGGGCCTGGGGCTGGCATCAACCTCACTGCCTGCTTTTTGCCTCTTTTTCAGAATCCTCTTTCCTCCCCAGTTGCCCCTAGGCATGGGGGACTCGGTGGGGAGGATGGGGAGCTGTCCGGTGCTACCACACCGTGCCATCACTGGACTAGGCCACAGTAGCAGCCAGGGGTGGACCCTGGAAGCTCCTGGCCAGAGAGTGCCTCTCCCCTCTGCCATCCACACCAGGTCTTTGGTGGGGGGGGACCCCAAAGCCATTCTGGGAAGGGCTCCAGAGAAAAGTCCAGCCTAGGACCCCACAAGGCTGGCAGCCCCACATCCCTGTCCCCAGGCCACCTTGAGAAGCACAGTCTAACCACGGGCTCCTAGGCCTGCCTCAGCCTGCTTCCCCACTTCCCAACCCCTTCCTCTGGCCCAGTCCATGTTACTTTGGCCCTTGGTTTTCTTTCAGATTGGAGGTTCTCAAGAGGCCCTCCAGAGGAGTGATAATGGGCACTTCCCTTGTGGGCAGCTGCAGGCCCCATGCCTCTCCTCCCTCTCTGGCAGGGCCCTATCCTGGGCAGGGGGCCTGGGGCTGGGCCCAGAGTCCAGCCATCCAGCTGCTCCTTTCCCAGTCTGAATTCAATAAATCTGTCTGCCCCCCTTTTGTGGGAGTGGACATTTTAACAGCCAAGGGTGCATCCTTCATGGTCTGGGCTTGCGTCTGTCTTGGGGACACTTCTTTCCCGGTTCCTTTTGATCCCTGCTCTGGTGGGACAAATGTTGAGAGAGTGGCTACAGCCCAGGCCCTGACCAGGGTGAGGGGCAACATCTGTATTTAAATGTTGCCTAATCTGCCTGCCTCCTTAAGTGCAGGAGACTTAAGAGAGTCGGTTCTATCCCTGGGTCGAGAAGATCCCCTGGAGGAGGCAATGGCACCCCACTCCAGTATTTTATCAGGAGAATCCCATGGACAGAGGAGCCTGTCGTGCTACAGTCCATAGGGTTGCAAAGAGGCGGACATGACTGAGTGTCAGCACAGGCTTGGGGGCAGGAGGGATCTTTAGTGCACCAATGCCTGGGGGTGGGTTTGAGGAAGCTGGCCCTTGCAGTGCTTAGGGGTAGGAAGCTTTGGGTCACTTGGCTAGGATAGGAGGGAGGGAGCCAACAGTCCCTGGAGGGCCAAATTAAGCTAGGTGCCCGGGAACTAGGCTTATCAAGGCCCATTAAAGAAGATCCTTGCAGGAGAGGGGCAGGAGGGCAGAAAGAAAAGAATGTTGGGGGCAGCTCCTGTGGGCCAGGTTGGAGTTGTAGGGGTATCCCTTGTATGGTGCCTTAAGTGGGGAGTCCTCTGCGCCTTTCAGTGATTGGCATCTCCAGTCCTGGTGGCAATCCTTGGAAACAGTGGCAGGGGAGAGGTGGAATTGCTGGGGACACATTGCACCCCGAAGAGGTTGAGGATGTTAACCACTCCCTGTGTGATGCCCTCTAGAGGGCCCCCCCATCCAAAGGTGAGACAGCCTGCTCTGCTGATCCTACCTGCCTTTTCTCTTCTCACCCCTCCCAGGCCCTTCCTCATTGAGGCCCTCAGGCCCCAGTAGTTCCAGTGAGGGGAGGGCCTGAGCTTGAGCAGGCTGGCAGCTCTGGGCCCCAAACCGGTTTTCCCACCTTGCCTGAGGCTGGCACATCACACCTCTGTTTCCCTGCCCCCACCTCATTGCAGTTCCTCCTCTCTCCACCCTGGAATGTGGGGGCCAGGGGGAGCACTTATCCACATCATCTTTTTAAACAGGAAGGTGGAGGGGCTGTTCCACACTTTCCCTTCCACACCTCTGGCACTCAGGGATTCCTTCTAGGCCTTCAAGGCTTCAGAACTAAGAGCAAAAAGCACCTGGGATTCTCAGCCCCACCTTGGCCCACGTCTAGTCCCCATCTGAGCTCTGGAGGATGAGACAAAGAAGCCCAGTCTACCCCCTCGCCTGCTCTGGAGTAAATGGGTGGGAGCAGTAGTCTTCTCCCTAGATGCCACTGGCCAATCCGAGTCCCTCGCCTCAAATACCAAGGCAAATGCTTCCATTTGTCTGCTGCCAACAAGAATGCCTCTTGCTCGAACTGAGATCATCTCTTTAATGATAACACCAGTCGACATGAATAGGGCTCTTGCTGTGTGCCAGCCTCTGTGCTAAACACTAGATGCTCACAAAGCTCCTGTGAGGGGACTTACTTCCCTGGTGGCCCAGTGGCTAAGACTCTGCTCTCAGTGCAGGGGAGCCTGGGTGTGATCCCTGGTCAGGGAACTAGATCCTACAGGCTGCAACTAAAGATCCTGCTTGCCGCAGCGAAGATAGAAGATCCCCTGTGCTGCAACTGAGATCCGACGCGTCCAAATAAATAAAATATTCTTTAAAAAAGAAACCCGTATGAGGTAGGTAAAACCATGAGAAAACATGTACAGAAAAGTGCCCAAAGCCAAATCACTAGTCTGTGGCAGAAGCAAGCTCTCTTCCCCAGGCTGATCTTGAAGTGTCCCTTTACTAAGACATTCTTAGCTCTGTTTTCCTAAAGGAACTGGTTACTGACTCAGTTTCTAAACTGTAGAATAGCTCTGGGAGATGAACGGTGTAGAAGTGTCTACAGGAGCTGAAGCTCCCGTACTTATAACTAACGCCTGTTCCCCCAGTCCCCAAATACAGATCTGTAAATATCCTTCCCATTCTCCCTATTACTCCTTTGGGACAAATAGATGAAAACCATATCCATTTCATGAAGAAGGAAATAAGGTTAAGGACTTAAATGACCTGCAAAGACACTGGTCTTGAGGTCTAGTGTTCTCCCTGGGAATCTGGGTTACATACTAAATGCCTCACCAGGACTCTACTGGGGATGGGGGTGGGGGGTAAGGGACAGTGGTGTGGAGATGGCTCTATGAGCACAGAGCTCTGAGGAGGACCTGGCAAGGACTGTCACACAGCCTTCCACAGTCCAGATGTGAAGCAGCTGGTGACTAACAACAGAGCCCCAGATAAAGCTGACAAACACTGGGCTGCTGCCTTCACTTGGGACTGATTGCTAAAGGACCCTGAAGGGGATCCCTGTTCTGAAGACACTGATGCAGGGATTCTGGAGGCCTGGTTGTCTTCGGCAGTTCCCAGAGTGGGCCATTTGGCAGAGGTGGTTTCTTGGGAGGCGGGGAAGAGAAACTGCCTTTTCAAAGTGAGGCAGAGGGAGGGGGGGAAACTACAACTCCCAGAAGCCCCTGCTCCCTGGCGAGTCAGTTTCGGTTGCCATGGTTTCAGAAAACAATATGGCCGCTCCCAGCTGGAAGGCGACTCTGGGTTAGAGACGCAGCGGCGGATCTGGGTCGCAGCAGTGGCGAGAGAAGAGGTCTTGAGGGTTCGTGAGGTTGGCCCTGGACGCTATACAGCTGGAACAGGCTGACCTTTCCGAGGGCGCCAATGGCGGGCAGCGTGGATGAGGAAGCACTGCACCAACTGTATCTGTGGGTAGACAACATCCCTCTGTCCCGGCCCAAGCGGAATCTGTCCCGGGACTTCAGTGATGGAGGTGTGTGCTCCAGCGTGTGTGAGTGTGTCCGTACGCACGCCTGGGTGTGTCCTGTATGTGTGTCAACGCCTTCTGTCCTGTATGTACGTGTGTACAGGGTCTATGTGAATACATGTCTCTTGGTGCTTGTGTGCTTGTGGCAGAGGGGTTAGGTGTGGGTTAGGGAGAGGGCTGTCCATCTCCTAAGATTTCAATTGCAGAAGTGTGCATCTGTGGGAATGTGAGCATGTGTGTGTCCATATTTATGTATACATGTTCTATCCTTTGTGTGGGGTGTATTCTGTGTGTGTATGTGTCTATGACTCCTTCCCTTAACTTTAATGACTAAGATGTGTATTTGTGCATATGTGTGTGTGTGTGTGTGCATGCTTATTCCAGTATTCTATATGTCTTGTGGGAGTCTGAGCATGTGTTTGTTCATATGCAAGTTGATATGTTCTGTCCTATATGTAAAAATGGGCGTGTTGTATGCATATGTTTCTTTGTGATCGTTTAGGTGTCTGTGTGTTGAAGACTCTCTCCTGGGATTTTAATGACAGAAGTATGCATTTCTCTGTGTGTATATTGATGCATATGTGACTCTTTGTGTTTCCGTGTATATGTGTGTTGGTAACTGTCTCTTGGGACACTGGTGATGGCCCTATGTGTCTGCGTGTGTTTCTACATCTCTGTATCATTGTGTGTTTGTGTGTATTTATGTCAATTCCTATAGCTCTTGGATACTCATTCTGTAATAGGGGACTAGAGACCTTAGTTTTCAGATGCCCTGAGTTAATGGCAAAGGGATGAAGCTCCTCTGGAGAATTTGTCTCTGCCTGATCACTGTTCTTGCTCTCTTACCTCCCCTCCATATTATCCTTCCCCTTTCCACATCTCTACCTCTTCTGTTGGCCCCACCACTCTGCCACCCCTGATTCTCCCACCCCACCCATTCCTTCTCCCTCTTCCTTCTTCCTTACCCATCTCTACACCTTCCATGTCTGCTCCCACCTCCTCTCCCTCAGTCCTGGTAGCAGAGGTCATCAAGTTTTACTTCCCCAAGATGGTGGAGATGCACAATTATGTCCCTGCCAACTCTCTCCAGCAGAAACTGAGCAACTGGGGTCACCTGAACAGGTAACAGAATACCTGGGCACACTAGTGGGATTTCTAGCCCCTAGTCTGGGATCTGAGCAAGGGTTGCCCAGCCCCTCCACCTCCTATGGTCTCCACAGTCCAGGCTGGTGGCTGGGGTGGGGAGGACAATGCAGACAGAATCTATCTGGTAACAAAATCAAGGGACTCTTCTTTGGGGGAGGTGACAAGGATCCTTGAGACATACATGCTCTGGGCTCAGGTTGGGTGCCCTTCCATTCCCCCAGGGCTGTGCACGGAAGGGCTACCACTGCTGCATCTCCTTCCTTCCCCCCACCCATCACTTCATCCACCCAGGAATCAATCCACCATCCCTGTGTCTACCCCCAGGAAGGTGCTGAACAAACTGAACTTCTCTGTACCAGAAGATGTGATGCGCAAGATAGCACAGTGTGCCCCAGGTGTGGTGGAGCTGGTGCTCATTCCACTGAGGCAGCGCCTAGAGGAGCGTCAGAGACGTAGGAAGCAGGGCATCGGCTCCTTACAGGTGCCTTCTCACTCCAGCTTCTTGCACTGTTCTAGGGGAGTTTCCCAGGCAGCAGAAAGCTCTGCCTCAGTGACAAGTTGGGAGAAGGGTGCCTGGCTAAAGGGAGCCCACAGCGGGAGGGATGTTCCTGGAAGTGGGCAGCCCAAGGTCACTGCAAACTCTGGGCGGTTCTTTCAGGAGCTGACTCCCCAGGATGGCACTGACTACATGGATGTGGGTAAGGTAGCCTTTACTTGCCTTCCCTTCCAGGAAGAGCTTTTCTCCTGTCCTTCCTTCCTGTGGGGGAAGGGGTGGGACTACAGGGAGGGGAAAGACAGGAAAATAGGACTCCTTCAGGGTTATTCCTATACTTGCCTTGTCTCAGGTTTGTCCCAGAAGGCCCGAGGGGAAGGTGCCCCAGACCCCCAGGGACGGGGGCAACTCAGGTAAGGAAGCTGGGAGCTCCTGACCTTACCAAGCCTGATATTCTCTCTACCTGGGAGGTCAGGGTGAGGGTTGCATCTGGAAAGATAGGGAAGTCAGGGATGGAGGGATTTCAGGGGCAGTGAGAGGGAGGGAAGGCTTGGTCGAGGGACACTGAAAGGGTGATGGTGAGGTCTGAGATCCAAGCCTCAGCTAAGCTGCATCTCACCCCAGGGAGGGCCGACTCCCTGTGCCCCAGCCTCCAGGGTACAGCCAGGCACTGCAAAGCGACCCAAGCTTCGTCCTCCAGATCGCTGAAAAGGAGCAGGAGCTGTTGGCCTCGCAGGAGACCGTGCAGGTGAAGGCGCACTGGGAGGGAGCAGGGGGATTGAGGCCTGGGAATATGGGCAGGGCGCAGCAGGCCACTGGACTTGACTTCTGTGTGGCTTGGCCTAGGTCCTGCAGATGAAGGTGAGACGCTTGGAGCACTTGCTCCAGCTCAAGAACGTGCGCATAGAAGACCTCTCCCGGAGGCTCCAGCAGGCAGAGCGTAAGCAGCGGTGAGCCTGGGAGACGCCCCCTTATCCGCCAGAGCCCAGACATCGCAACTGATGCACCCACCTCGAAGGGCAGACGAATGGGTGGGCGGAGCCAGCTGCTCCAGTGAGCCTCCTGGGACACAAGCGCCCCCTTGGGGTGTGAGTGAGCATGGGGGGCAGTGGGACAGGAACCCTCCAAGCAGAGCCCAGGAACTGAGCCACTCCTTCCGCTCCATCTGGGTCAGGAGAATGGACCGCTTTCCAGAACCCAGAGGCCACATGCAGAGACCTGGCGTGCGCCCCAAATCAGTGCTTGACACCAGGGACTCTGCCTTGGTGCTCCCGGTGCTGGGCCTTAGGGGGTGGTCCCCCAGCTTGGTCCGCACCCTTAGAACCAGGTCCCCACCCAGCTCTGGTGACAGCAGCGTCTCCATCCAGGCTAGTTCTCTGTACCATGGGTCAAAGGGGAGACTGTCCGAGACAGCTGAGGGGCCTCCTTGCCCCTCCTGGGCACTCACCTGGGACCCAGCTAAAAGCTGGAGAACACAGCAGCTGAAGAGGAAGGGGTGAGGTGTGAGCTCAGCCATAGACTGTGCCTTCCAGGTGTCCTCCACGCCCACAGTGTATGTTGAGAATATTTGGGGGATGTGGAGCTGAGTTGTTCCCATTAAAGTTATGAAGTTATGGTGTCCTTCCTGTGCCTGCTTTCTCTTCTCTGAGGGAAGTGAGTTCCTGTCCCCCTTGTGTTATCCCCACCCCTTAAGTGAAAGAGCTTTGTGGGCCCAGGCTGGGTCTCAACTCTTGGGGAGCTGGACCCTGCAGTGGCCACTTCTTGGTAGGAGGATGGGTTTGTGCACTAGGACAGCCTGACTAACTCTTAGAAGTTTAACTCTTAACTAAGTCAGGCCTTAGACTGACCCCCAAACTTACTCTCAGTGACTTCCAGCATTGCCCAAACCCAACCACAAGTCCAGGCTTCAGATTCTTCCCAAATGTAGCCACAGAGTCACCCTCAACCTTGCTTATGGATTCACCCCTAAACGTGTATGGCTCCCGACCCTGCCCACAGACTGACCCCAAGTTCTATGGACAAAGACCAAGCTTGACTCCCAACCCTTACCAAGATACCATGGCCTTGGTGTGACTTTAACTCTGATCATTACACTCCTAGTAACATTGAACATTTGAATATCCTGGGACCCCACAATTCTATTCCTAGGCATATATTCAGCATCACTTCAGTTCATTTGCTCAGTCGTGTCCGACTCTTTGCGACCCCATGGACTGCAGCACACCAGGCCTCCCTGTCCATCCATAACTCCTAGAGCTTGCTCAAACTCATGTCCATCAAGTTGGTGATGCCATCCGACCATCTCATCCTCTGTCATCCCCTTTTCCTCCTGCCTTCAATTTTTCCCAGCATCAGGGTCTTTTCCAGAGTCAGTCCTTCACACCAGGTGGCCAAAGCATTGGAGCTTCAGCTTCAGCATCAGTCCTCCCAACGAATATTCAGGGTTAATTTCCTTTAGGATTGACTGGTTTGATCTCCTTGCAGTCCAAGGGACTCTCAAGAGTCTTCTCCAACATATTCAGCATATCCAGGGGAAACTTAAGTTCCTGTGTTTTGTGACACATGTACTGCGATGTTCATAGCAACACTCCTTGTAATAGCAGAACTGAAAAGAACTCCTATTTATTCTCTATTACAAACTTAGTGACTTGAACAGCACATATTTATTACCTCATATTTTCTGTGGGTGAAGAGTCCAGGCATGGCTTAGTTGGATCCTCTGGTTCAGGGCTTCTCACAAGGCTGCGGTCAAAGTGTTGGCCAGAGCTATGGTCTCATCTGAAAACTGGGGAAAGATTGACTTTCTGAGTTCACTTGGTTGTCGACAGTTAAGTTCTTTGTGGGCTGACGGACTGAGGGTTTGCTTTTTGCTGGCTATTGACTGGTGGCTACCCTCATTTCCTTGCCACGTGACCATCTCCAGTATGATAGCTTACTTCATCAAAACCAGCAAGGGAGTTAATGGAGTCTGTTAGCAAGATAGAAGTTATAATCTTATCTAATGTAATCACAGAAGTGACATCCATCACATTTGTGGTACTCCATTTATTAAAAGTTATTAGACAGGGACTTCCCTGGTGGTCCAGTGGTTAAGAATCCACCTTGCAATGTAGGGGACTCAATTTCAATCCCTGGTCAGGGAAAGAGCCCACAGGCTGCGGAGCAGCTAAGCCTGGGTGCCACAACTAGAGAGCCCGTACTCTGCAACAAAGATCCTATGGGCTGCAGCTAAGAAGACCCAAGGCAGCAAAATAAATAAATAATTCATGAAGTCCAGCCCACTTTCAAGGGGAAAGGTACACATAGGTGTGAAAACCAAGAGGCAGGGATAACTGGGAGCTATTTTAAAAGCTCGTGACCATGCAGATGAAGGAACAATGAAAGGATAAAATCTAGAATAGTGTTACTTCTGAGAGAAAGCAGAAGACTTATTCTATTGTTGATGGACATCTGGGTGGTTTCCAGTTGGGGGCTATTACAAATGATGCCGCCACAAAGATTTGTATACATGTCTTTTGATGTGTAACTAAGAGTGGAATTGCTGGGTCACAAGGTTGGCATTTTATCCGCTCTATTAGATACTGCCAAGCAGTTTTCCAATGAGGTTATAACTGTTTAATTTTTATTAAAAAGAATGAAGTCCAGGGAATTCCCTGGCATCCCAGTGGTTAGGACTCCAGATTTTCACTGACAAGGGTGCAGCTTCAGCCCCTGCTTGGGGAAACGAAGATCCCACAAGCTGGGCTGTACAGCCAAAAAAAAAAAAAAAAGAAGAAAAAAGGGGGAAAAAAAAATAATGAAGTCCAGAAAACCATGTGTTTGAAGCTGGAGTGGATGCTTTACATATGCTCAATCTGTTCTCCTAACCTGGAGTTGCTCATAAATCCTCCCTTGCTGACTCACCCTATTCTTGGTACACAGGCTGTTGGACTTTGAGGGGGGGCAGCTGGGTACCTTCTACCCTGACTTCCTCCTGGCATGAAAAGTCTCATTTCCTCCTGGAGGCTTTCTGGAACCATCTGCACTTGCACTGTGGCTTTGGGGCCTACCCTGGGAGCCTGTAATATCCCCAGGCAGGGAAAGCTCTGTATTGCAGGTCCCCTCAACTGGCCAGTTAGCCAGACTGCCCAGTGCCTGTGAGGAATGTTTGGCAGGGACAGGAAATCACAGTTCTTTTTGTCTTTTATCTCCCACCCTAAACTGTAAGTGCCTTTAACTCCAGAGCCTTGCACAGTAACTTGCTTGTCACATACATTTAGTAAATAGTTGTTGAAAGGAGGTGACAATTAAAAGTCCCAAGGGAAAGAAAAGAAAAGAAATAATAGTTAGTCGTTAGTCTGTATGTCTGAAAGAATCCATAGCAGGGATGATTTTGAGAAGTTGACTAGAAAAATATAACAGGAAGGCATTAACCTGGTCTTGAAAGGAGGGTAGTTTTGCCTATGAGAGAGCGGGAAGGCCATTCCAGGTGGGAAGGTAGTATAAGGAGGGGATCATAAATTCAGATGTCTACATAGACCCCCAGGTAAAATAAATGTCAGAAAATAGGGACTGGTAAGGACTATGGTAAATTGAGGTGTCAGCCTTTGGTGCCAGGCTAGAATTGAATCCACACTGTTCAATCAATAAGAGGAAGAACAAGCAGAGAAGGAGGAAGAATTAGACTTTTTTTTCCAAGAGTTTAGTTTTCTTTAATTAATTAATTAATGTATGGCTGCACTGGGTCTTCCCTGCTGTGTGTAGGCTTTTAGTTGCCTTGAGCAGGGGCTACTAGTGGTGCAAGGGTTTCTCACTGCAGTGGCTTCTGTTGTTGCAGAGCAGCACGGGCTCTAGGTGTGGGGGCTTCAGTAGTTGCAGCACCCAGGCTCAGTTGCCTTGAGGCATGTGGAATCTTCCCAGACCAGGAGTCGAACTGTGTCCCCTGCATTGGCAGGTGGGTTCTTAACCACTGGACCACCAGGGAAGTCTGAATTAGAATTTTTTAAAGCCCATATGGACTAAACAAAATACATCTATAGCTTACTCTGGGCACATCGTCTGCCACCTTGAAGAATAGACATAGGACTGCAACTGAGGGAGAGACAAGTGGGGCACATGGACTGGTGGAGTTGGATAAAGAGAAAACATCTAGCAAGAGTGGGTGGGCTGAGATCAGAATGTGGAGATCTCCCGATGATCGGTCATCTCAAACACCAGAGTGTTCACGTTTCACCCAAAATGATGCTAACAAGTTTGAGGTTTTTCTGGACACTCCCAGAGCACAGAGCACTTTGGAGCAGGGTAGGATTCACTGGAAACGATAGCTCAGGAAGATCTGTCAACAGGGTGTTAACCAGAGACCAGAAGATAAGTTAGGGGTCACAGGGATCCAGCAGAGGGTAGTGTTATGCCCGATGTCTGAATCCCCGAGCGGGAAGAGAGAAGGCCTCAAAGACAATGCAACTCGCAAAAAAGGGAAGTTTATTGCTGACTCGAGTCAGGGTTCCTGCCACATCCAACGCAGTGGTGCAGGGTCAGAGAGCCCCAAGCCCAAGCTGTTACACAAATTTATAGGGTGAGCATAAGCAGTTGGTAGCTGGCTTAAGCGGATTGGTTACATGTTTGCAAAGCAATTTTATTGGTCCAAACTTTCACGGACTTTTTTCAAACTTGGGCGTTCGCGGGCTTTTTCAGCTTTCCCCTGATAGGTTCCCTTTTTCTTACTGGGCGCGTGTTGATTGGCTGGCTCCCGGTGGCCTGATGGGGTAGGGAATCTTACCATTTCAGGGGAAACCTAAACTTAGGTCCGGGCCTCCTGTCATGGTGTTAGCCCTGGCAGCTTCACATTCCCCCCTGTCTTGTTGTTTCTGTAGAGGAATCTTTCTCTTCATCCTGGGCTACCATCTGATATTGTTGTTTCAACACCATAATCTGAATGGTATTTAGACGTTCTTTAATAAATGACATTAGCCGGTTTAAAATACAAGGGCCAAACGTGAGTATTAATAATAGCACTATAAGTGGGCCCAGGAGGGTGGAAACTAAGGTGGTCAGCCAGGGGGAGCGTTGAAACCAGGACTCAAACCATCCCTGCTGGGCCTCCCGTTCCCTCTTTCGTTGCGCCAGTCCTTCTCTCACTTTTGCCATAGATTCTCTTACCACTCCTGTATGGTCTGCATAGAAACAACATTCTTCTCCTAGAGCTGCGCAGACCCCACCCTGCTGAAGAAAAATCAAATTTAATCTTCTCCTATTCTGCAAGACCACCTCAGACAAGGAAGTCAGAGACTTCTCTAAGTGGCTGATTGATTCTTCTATGCGAGTTATATCTTCATCTATAGCGGCTCGTAGGGAGGAAAACCCTTGGTCTTGCAGAGATAATGAAGCTATTCTTGTCCCTGCTCCTGCCAGCCCAAGACTGAACAAGGTTGCCATGGTGATCGCACTGATTGGCTCTCTCTTTTGTCTTAGCATTTCCCGATCCCAATGTGAGTACATAACCTCTTCAGAGTGGTATAAG